TTTCTTCTTGGTCATGATCTTCCTAACTATTAGTAGCACTTAATTCATCTTCAGTAATTTCCTCATCCTTTCCCTTTTTCTTCCTTTCTCAGAGCACATTTAAGCTATTCAGGACAGCTCCAAATTTTTGAGGGAGTTCTTTTTCCTTTTTTTTTAATATCTCTGTATTTGTCCATTCTCAAGTAGAGTTTTAGATCTACTTAAAAACACAAGATACATTGATGAGCAATGAAAAAGCGGGTGAGACAAGAAGGGTGGTAGGAACAGTGAGAGGAAGAAAGATGGAGTCAGTGAGAAATCAGCTGTCTATGCTTCCTACTCTTCTTTCCCAGGTGATCCTTCTACCTGTTCTAAATTAATATCAAAGCCAGAGGGAGCAGAGAAAAGTTGGTGGGGGAAAAAAACAACTTTAGGAAAAGAAAAATCATGATGCAGAAAAGCGTTTGTCCCCTGTATAATTCCTGCAGTGGCCTGTAGCTGATGGTGCTGAGAAAAATACAGCTGCAAGCTCTGACATTTCATTTCTGTGGAGAATTGAAAAAGGGCTTGCTATAATTCATCGCTTCTTGTAACTCAAACCCTTTTTGACAAGGGTACCTGTGCTGTCTTTTAACAGTGGCACCACAGTGGCTGTAATTGGACATGAAAAATGATGTTGTGTTTCTGGTTGCTGGGAGAATTGGAGTAGGGGTAGGTGGGGCAGTGGCAATTTGGTGTGAGATGGTGACATCTGGCATAATTTGGATGGGTTGTTTTGGCAAAAAAAAAAAGAAGGACAACCCAAAAGAAAGGGTATGAAGCATAGCAATTATGATCACCTTGCCTAAGGTTTGCAAAGGTGATAGTAAAGATGGTATTCATCATAGATGAACATGCAAAGAATCACAGGAAAATGAGAAGTGTGATGCCCATGAAGTTCTAAGCCCACCATCAACACAAATATTTATGGCATTTGTAGAAAAAGGACACAAACACTCTTCCTGAAATAGGCCTATTCACAGCTGCAGCTGTTCTTCCCAGTACAATGGGGGAACTGGAGCGGCAGGCTTTTCCTGAGTCCACACTGGAACCTGAGACACAGGTTTTTTCTGACTCTACACTGACTCCACAGTTGTGCATAAAACTCTGGTGTGCCATTCTCTCACCACCTCTCTGAAAACTGTGCCTATATATTTAACCAGAGATCCAAATTAATTATTTGACTCTTGCCTAAATCTCTGTGCCTCAGTGGAACTCAGCACATCTTTGCTACAAAATTGTTGTTGAGCGAAGCACTTCAAATTAAATTTTTAGTCAAAAGGGACTTGGAATCATTAATGATGATAAACATTATCCTGATTTATAATAGTTTTATAACTATGGAGCATTCTGGTACCATAAAGTTTGATATCTCCATATTATGGAAAGAATAGAAAATTTTAGTCGGGTCTTAAAGGATGGTAGAGAATTTAAAGATGAGATTAATGCTTTTGGGACTAACAAATGCTAAAACAATTTACTCCTTCCTCCGTGGCACCCCAACATGGATAATATAGAACAAGGAAGCATGATCATATTTCAAATGAGAGCACAAAGAGCATCCATGAGCAGAGGAGAGAAAGACCACTGAAAGGACAGGAGTGTTAACACATCCCAGAGGAAAGCCGAGCAGTGCATTCACTCCATCTACCAGTTCAGATGTTGGGTCAGCCTGCCCTAAGCCTTTTCCCATGCAGCCAAATCCCTTTTGAAGCCTTCTAGTGACAGAGTTTAATAACACCTTACAGCCACCTCTGTAATTTCACAGATCCCAGGTGGATTGCCTGATGGTATTAATCAGATTTGCTGTCTGGCAAATATTCTTTCTCCTGTCACACTCTCAGGGTCCACCAAGACAGGACACATATTAAAATGTCCATATCAGTATTTCCCCAAACACTCTTCAAAAGGCTGCATTTTGGAGTATAAACTTTGGTTTCATTCCACTTAACTTATGGCCATTTTCAGATAAAGAATAAGCAGGGAACTTCAATATCTGAATACCCTTCTCCCCAAGAAGGCATTTCCCCAGGGTAAGAAAGCTACATTGTTCTGCCATTTTATTTTCCCCCCTTAGCCCTTTTCTAGTCCCCATGACAGGTCCTTGCTCCCAGAGTGTCTGTATAAAAAAAAAAATCCATAGATGGAGAAAGGAAACTTAATTATTTTCCTCTCAGTGTTCTTCCCTATAATTGGTGTCTTTCATGTCAAGATGATCTCAATTTGTATTATGGGCTCCGTTCAGGCAGCACTTTCTCTTTGGTCTATAAAGAAATTGTCAAGTGTATAAATCATAGTGTACATTAAATTACACTAGCCTTTTACTTATTAATTTCCCCAGTTTTTTCTTCCTCTGTTGGATGCTTATTTTCTCACTCTTTTTTTTAAACTGTCTTCAGAATTGACTGCTTTTTCTCACTCCTCAATATCAGAAAGAAAAAAAAAAAAACAAAACAAAGAACCAAACCAAAATAAAAAATCAACCAAAGTCCAAATAGATATTTGCCTCATTTCATTTTTACTAAAGTGTCTGATAATGTTCTCTGTCTTGTGCAAACTGACTTCATTCAACTCAAAAAGAATGATGAAATCTGTCTAGTTCTTCTCAAGGCTGGATCCAAAAGTTACTTGAGTTCAGTGCAAATTTTCATGGACTTTAGCACAATTCAGATCAGTACCTATGTGGGTAGATTTGTGGGATGTTCTGCATCTCAAGGCTGTGTCCATTTGGACTCCAGACTTTGCCTCTTGAGCCTGTATGTTGCACACCTCCTGTAGATTCCTGGCTACTGAGACTATTTCTCTTACTGACTGCTTTGGATCAGGTCCTGGATGTCTTGGAATGAGCACTAGGGACCTCTGACCCTCCTCCTCTGACCATAGGGGCTGGATTAGCCATAGGGTTCTCATCAGGAGCCCATAATTTGGCATAAGGGGCAAGTGTTAAAAGTAATCAGGGGTCGAGTTAGATATTGGTACGTGGATGGTCAACACCAACCTGCTGCAAACATGAACAGTTAGAGATTGAGCAGCAGAGGGAAGCAAGCAAGTAATTAACTTCATTATCCTGCACATGAGAGGCAAGGTGGGGTTCATCTCAGCTAAATCTAAATGCAAAGACAATCTCCATGATCAGTAGGAAGGAACAGAAACAGCCACTGCAAAAGACCATACACAGTTTATACCACAAACACCAAGTTTGAGAGTGTGTTAGAGTTACACTTTCTACACAGTTGGAGTTACCTGCAGGGTGTCAGATCTCTGAATGTGTGTAACAGCTAGCTGCTCATATGTGGCTATAAAGAAGCCCTGTGGCAAGATATCTGTCCTGCTGCTGCTGCTTCATACATCATGTCCGCCCTGCTAATATCTTGTGGTACCTATGTAAGCAACTGGTCTTTGCAGTGGCAGAAGCAAGGGCTGATACAAGGTTTAACAATTACCAGATTCTTTTAGGTTTTAGCACTTCAGCTATCTGATTTTGTTGGATGGTACAGGAGAGCAGAAACTGCTCAGTAGCATCTGTAGCCATGGATCCTTCTCTTCCAGAGTGTGTAGTCAGTTTATGGATAAGTACATTTTCCTCTAGAGACAACAATAGAGCAGGATCTGCTAGGTTCTTCATCATCTTAACCTACTTGTCAGCCAGCTTGATAACTTGTTGTTACTAAAAATGTGTGCAGAGCAATTAGAATAAATATAACTTATTATGAAGCACTTTCCAAAAAAAAATAAAAGGCAAAAATTAGGAAAAAAAAAAAAAAAGGAAAAATAAAACTAATGGCCTTGCTGCCCAGCTATGATTAGTCACAAATAAGGGATGGATTAATTTCCTGAAGGCATTCTGTGATATTCATCAACCAATTTGTGGTCTGACTTTACTGGGAAGGCATATGTTAGGAGATTCCTATTGCCTTCTGACCTCATGCTCCTTATGATGCTTGTTTGAACTTGTACTTTCTTTGTTGGTTGACAAATCAAAAAGATATTTTCATTCTGTTCAGAGGTGGTCACACATAAAAAGATATTTTGAATAGTCCATCTGCACAGGGTATTGATTGCTTTATGTGACAATAAGTATAAGGTAGGGAAGGGCTTTCAGACTAAATTCTTAGCTGGTTCTGATCCAGTCTGCATCTCTGGCTATTGACAGGAGGGGTATACCCTCAACCCTGTTCTTCAGGTACCCACATCATGTTAGGCACCACCAGTGAAGAACATTATGAGCATCTGTTGCCCTGTCTCCTGGGAGTGAGCAGCTCTGGGAATAGTGATGCTCCCCAGTGATTTTGTTGAGTGAGAGAGGGATAATTTGAATAACGGAAACATACTTGCAACACAGTGGCAAGGTTCTTAAACCTACTTATATTGTGACATACGAAAGGAAAAAGATATCTGAAAAATGAATAGAAGGAACATCTGATCCTCTACTCCCAGAAAATTCTCAGTATCCAATGCTCCTGGAGCCATGTGGAAAAATTAGACCCAAATGCAGGTTTGAAATGGAGGCTGCTATGCTACATATGACTATCCTAGTGAGCTAACAGTAGAAATGGAATTAGCTTTTCAATTTCCTTTCCATCATGCCAATCTCAAGAAATTTTTGCAGTTTAAATTTCACTGGTCCTGATGTTCTGACAAAGCATTTTTACTCTCATGCGCCAATGTTTCCAGAGAAAACTATTAGAAATTTTAAAAGCTACATTTAAAATTTCATGACCCATGTGAAATGAGTCAGATCCCCCTCCCTATGTGATACAACAAAGCCACTGTCCCTAAGAGGAGTGACACTGATTTATTTGCCTCAGACCAAACCACAGCCTGCACTGGTTAGTTCTTTGTTTACTAATTGTTTGTTTCCCCCATCGTGGAGTGAATTCTGGTTCTAATTATGATGCGCAGTACAGAAGCAAAGCAAGCCTCTGTATATGAATGTCTGACTCCTCCATTAATTACATGTCTTTCTTTGTTCTTCCTTACAGATGAACAGACCGATCCAGGTGAAGCCAGCGGACAGTGAAAGCCGAGGAGGTAGTTGACTGCATTGCTTTCAGCCACAGTGCTAAATATAATTGTTGTCTCTGGCTTCTCTCAGGCAATGTGCTGATCAATTAGTAACGTAATCACTGCCAAAGAAATTCCCTCCACAGCAAAGATTCTCTTTATTAAATCTCCTTTACTTCATCTCACTTTCCTCATATTCAATTATTATTTGATTTTAAAAGGCAGGCAGGTGCCAGCGATTGCCTGAGAAACAAATAACTGCCTCGTTAAGAAGTGAAGCATCAGGCACTGACTTAACAAAGTTTAACAGCAGTGGACAGCAATGGGTTTTTTTTTCAGGCCTATGTCAGGCTGAGCTGTAGAGGTGCTTAATTTGGTTAAGATAAAGCAGATATTTTATGGTTTCTCTAACCATGTTGTTTCTGCTTGCACTGAAGCAACTCTGCTTCTGAAAAAAGCAAATTCTGAGCTGGCAGAGTTTTCTGCACCTGTATCAGCTTATCTGGATAAACCTGTTGTGGAAACTGAAGATTTCTCTCAGACCCCGGGAGTTATTCAGGATTTGCACAGGTACAGCTGAAATCAGGAGCTGGTATTTTGCTTTTCCATTCTATACAGTGGATTTGGAAGGCTTTGTTAAGTGACTGTTCAATAGATCACCAGTGATGAGGTGTTTCCTGTAAAAGGTTTTTTTACTTGAACTGATATGGTGGTACTTTGCTGTACTCTTCTAATAGGAGCCTGTTTGTCAGATCAAACACACAGATCACTGAGAGAGTGTGAGATGGTCTGTTATACTGGATAAATGACACCCTGCTATTTTTTTCTTGTATCTGTACATTTATATATATATACACACGCATATATATAATGACATGTTCTCTTCCTCTCTATCCCTATCTCTTTGGGAAAAAAAACAGAGAGCCTTTTCCTCATCTTTTCAGTAAAAACCTCTAGTGCTTATGTATCTGATAAACGTGGGAGTAGATTTTGTCATTTAGTAATGATGTAGCTCTTAGATGTCTGAAAACTTTTCAATTTCCACCATAAATATAAACTCTTCTTCATTTGTGGGATGACTATCTTTGTGCTGGCATTAGTGGAAATCTCCAGCAACAACTACTTAAAAGGAAAAAAATGCCTGACAGAGAAAAGACACCTTGTTCTTTCTCTTTTCTTTTGAAAGCTGTAGATTCTAGGGACTTTGGCTGCATCATTGTGAGGCTGAAACTCTCCAGTGACTCAAGTTCTTGGAAGAATTTGTATATAGCTTGTATGTAAAGGGCTGGTGTTACAGGCTGGTGAAACCACAGGTCAAAGAGGCTCTGTAAGGATTGGCTGTGGTGCCACTTAAATGCAGAATTGCATGTATTTCCAGCAGAACTGAGTGCTGGAAAAACACCAGAAATCTCAGAGATAAACATTGCCCTTTCAGAACCTCTCTAAAGAAAATTTGGGGGAATTTGGTTAATACAGGGCAGAAAGTATGAGTATGAGTATAATGAGAGTGACTCAGTTAAAAAAGTGCTGAGCAGGTGAGGGGCTTGTGTTGTGAACAATTCAGGAGCAGGAGGTGGAGCTTCCTTAATTCCTGAGTGACTCATTATAAGAGGTCTCTTATGGCGACCTGGAGCACGGCGAACAGGAGTGGGCAAACGGGGTCACAGCAGGCAGGGCAAGCAGGTAGGATTGCAGGTTCTTGCTAGTTAGGTAGGGTGCTTTTACTCGTTGGTTGATTTTGGGCTTTCTCCTAGCAATGTTTTAACCCGGTTGAAATCTGTGGTTGGTACAAGTGTATGTGACCAAGCAGAGTCCTCCGAAAAGGATGTGTCTGTACAGACCCATTCCTGCCTGGAGTGTTTGAGCTTATCCATGGTTTCAGGGGTTGCTGTGGAGGAGGCCTGCCTATGGTGTGAGCAAGCGAACAACCTCCTTTCGCTGGTGGCCGAGCTTAGGGAGGAAGTTGAAAGATTAAGGGATAGTGAAAGGGATAGTGAAAGGGAAATAGACTGGTGGAGTTCAGCCCTTACATCTTTAAGGGAGGCCCATCAAGAGTCAGAGGACTCATATGCCTCCAATTCTGAGGCAATAGAGGGGCACCTGGTAGATGAAGGGGAGTGGAAATGTGTCCCTGCTCGGGGAGGTAATAACAAAAATCCCTCCTGCCCCCCATCCTCTAGCCAGGTGCCACTTCAGAATAGGTATGAGGCCTTAGATGTAGAGAGCCAGCCAGATGATTTAGAAGATAATTGTCTGCCCAGTGAGCCTCCCAAATATTACTTGTCTAAAAAACAGATTACCACGTCTAACATCAAGAAGAAAAGAAGGGTAACCATAGTGGGCGATCCCCTTCTGAGGGGAAGAGAGGGCCCTGTATGTTAACCAGAGCCATCCCACAGGGAAATCTGCTGCCTCCCTGGGGCCCAGGTATGAAATATCACTGAGAGACATCCTAGGCTGATTCAGTCCTCTGATTATTACCCACTGCTGATACTCCAGGCTGGCAGTGATGAGATTGAAAAGAGGAGTGTCAAGGTGATTAAAAGGGAGTTTAGGGCACTGGATCAAGCGGCTTATAGGACAGGTGCACAGGTAGTGTTCTGCTCAGTCCCTTTGATGGCAGAAAAAAACAATGAAAGAAATAGGAGCACTCACATCATTAAGTGGCTCGAAGGTTGGTGTCGCTGGCAAAATTTCGGATTCTTAGATCATGGGGCAGCTTTTACGGCACCTGCTCTACTGAATCAGATGGGATACATCTCTCTATTAAGGGCAGGAGGTTTTTAGCTCATGAGCTGGCAGACCTTGTGAGAGGGCTTTAAACTAGGCCTGAATGGGGAAGGGAATACATCTGGGCTGTGTGGAAGCAGGCCTAAGGATGGTAAGATTGTATTAGGGGAGAAATCAGTAGCCCAGCTGAGGTACATGTATGGCAATGCACTCAGCCTGGGTAACAAACAGGATGAGCTGGAGGCCATGGTGCAGCAGCAGAGCTATGATGTAGTCGCCATCACAGAGACATGGTGAGATGACTCACATAGTTGGAGCGCTGCACTGGATGGCTACAAGCTCTTCAGAAGAGACAGGAAAGGAAGAAGAGGTGGAGGGGTGTTTATATTAGGGAAGTTTTGGATGTCTTGATGTCATAGGTATTGAAACTAATGACAATGAAGTTGAGTCCCTATGGGTAAAAATTAAGGAGAAGGCCAACAAGGCTGACATCCTACTGGGAGTCTGCTGTCGTCCACCCAATCAGGATGAAAAGGTGGACAACTTAGTCTATAAGCAACTGAACAATGTTTCAGGATCATCAACCCTTGTTCTTGTAGGTGAATTCAACCTACCAGACATCTGCTGGGAACTTAGTACAGCAGAAAAACAGCAGTCCAGAAGGTTTTTAGAGTGTGTGGAGGATAACTTTTTGTCACAATAAGTGGGCAAGCTCACCAGGGGAGGGACTATGTTAGACCTGTTGTTCATAAATAGAGATGGACTGGTGGGTGATGTGGAGGTTGGAGGCCGCTTGGGGCACAGTGATCATGAAATTATAGATTTCTCGATAATTGGTGCAACAAGGAGGAATAGACATAAGATCTCTATGTTGGACTTCCAGAGGGCAGACTTTGGCCTATTTAAGAGACTTATTCAGAGAGTTCCTTGGGAAACAGCCCTTGAAAACAAAGGAGTCCAAGAGAGATGGGTGTGCTTCAAAGCAGAGATCTTGAGGGCGCAAGAACAGACTGTCCCTGTGTGCCAAAAGATGAGTTGACGTGGCAAATGTCCAGTCTGGATAAGCAACGAGGTTTTGAAGGAAACTTAGAAATAAAAAAAAGATGTATCATCTCTTTAAGGAGGACAGATTCCTCAGGAAGTATTTAAGGGAGCTGCCAGGGCATGTAGAAAAAAAATAGGAAAGCCAAAGCTCAGTTTAAACTTAACTTGGCAACTTCTGTTAAAAATAATAAAAAAATTTTTTACACATATATTAATAGTAAAAGGAAGGGTATAACCAACCTCTGTTCCTTATTGGATGAGGCAGGCAACCTAGTAACTAAAGATGAGGAAAAGGCAGAAAGGCTTAATGCCTTCTTTGCCTCAGTCTTTAGTAGTAAGACAGCTTGTCCTCAAGACAACTGTCCTCAGGGATTGGTAGGTGGTGCCAGGGAGCAGAATGGTCCTCTTGTTATCCAAGAGGAGGCAGTTAGAGAATTACTGGGACACTTGGATATTTATAAATCAATAGAACCAGATGGGATCCACCCTAGGGTGATGAGGGAGCTGGCAGATGAGCTTGCAAAGCCACTTTCCATCATTTATCAAGAGTCATGGCTCACTAGTGAGGTCCCAAACAATTGGAAACTGGCCAATGTGACACCCATTTACAAAAAAGGTTGGAAGGAGGATCCTGGTAATTACAGGCCAGTTAGCCTGCTCAGTACCAGGTAAGATAATGGAACAGTTCATACTGAGTGCTATCACACAGCACTTACAGGATGGCCAGGGTATCAGACCCAGTCAACATGGGTTTACAAAGGGTAGGTCATGTCTGACCAACCTGGTCTCCATCTATGACCAAGTGACTCATCTGGTGGATGCAGAAAAGGCTGTGGATGTTGTCTATTTAGACTTCAGCAAGGCCTTTGATACTGTTTCCCGTAGCATACTCCTAGAGAAGCTGCAGCCCACGGCTGGGACAGGAGCACTCTGTGCTGGGTTAGGAACTGGCTGGATGGCTGGCCCAGAGAATGCTGGTGAGCAGTGCTGCATCCAGCTGGGGCCAGTCACCAGTGGTGTCCCTCAAGGGTCTATGCTGGGATTCGTTCTATTTAATATTTTTATAGATGACATGGATGAGGGCATCAAGTCCTTCATAAGTAAATTTGCAGACAGCACTAAGCTGGGAGCTTGTGTTGATCTATTGGAAGGAAGAAGGGCTCTGCAGAGAGACTTAGATCAGTTGGATGGATGGGCAGAGTCCATCATGAAATTTAATAAGTCTAAGTGCCAAATTCTATATTTTGGCCACA